GCTGCTGGGGCTGAGTGGGGTACTGGGCGAGGCTTGGTACTTCGGGCCCCAGTGTTCTCCAGAAGGCTGCCTTGGCTGGGGTTGTCCTCTGCAGAGAGATCTGAGCGTGGCTGTCAGCTGGCCGCATGCAGAGAGTGGGCGGGAAGGACTTTTTTGGACTCCTAGACCACCTGTGAGCTCATTGGGTCTTTGGAACCACCTAAAGAGATTTGGGGACTCTGCTTTTGCAGACGAGGAGGCTTGGGGTGGGGAGGGGGTAGCTCACACAGTGAGGCAGTGCCTGGTGGCATGGCCTAGGTTTCTTCCCTGATGGGGAGTGCTGGGTCAGGCAGGCATTGCTGTTGCAGTACTTCTCAGGGCCTTTAAAACACCCATGGTGTCGTGAAGCTCTCAAGGGGGTGTAGGAGGCCTTTCCTTTTTCCTTTTCCTTTTCCTTTTCCTTTTCCTTTTCCTTTTCCTTTCCTTTCCTTTTTTTCCCTTTCTTTTCTATTTTCTTTTCCTTTCCCTTTTCCTTTTCCTCTCCTCTCCTCTCTTTTTTCGTTTTCTTTTCCTTTCTTTTCTTTTCCTTTCTTTTCCCTTTCCTTTCCTTCCTTTTTCCTTTTCCTTTTCCTTTTCCTTTTCCTTTTCCTTTCCTTTCCCTTTCCTTTCCTTTTTTTCCCTTTCTTTTCTTTTTTCTTTTCCTTTCCCTTTTCCTTTTCCTCTCCTCTCCTCTCTTCTTTCCTTTTCTTTTCCTTCCTTTTCCCTTTCCTTTCCTTTCCTTTCCTTTCTTTTCCTTTTCCTTTTCCTCTCCTCTCCTCTCCTCTTTTCTCTTCTCTTCTCCTCTCTTCTTTTCTCTTCTCTTCTCTTTTCTTTTCTTTTCTTTTCTTTTCTTTTCTTTTCTTTTCTTTTCTTTTCTTTTCTTTTCTTTTCTTTTCTTTTCTTTTCTTTCCCCACTGCTTCATGGGAGCAGGACAGGCTCTGGGGAGCGGCGTGGCAGCCAAATACTGGTTGAGATGTGGATGTCCGCATAGAACGCCTTGGCCCTGTGGCAAACACCATGGGGGCTTCCGCCGGATTCATTGGTGGTGCCGTCGGCAGTGCTGAGAGCTAGGCATGGAACATGGCCCTTGGGATCCCCACCTGTCTCTGGCTGGATGCTGTGGGGAGGAACCCATGCTCCCCGGTGTCTACTCTTCCCCCCCCAGGGTCGCTGCTCTCCTGGCTGTTGCTCACGAGCGGATGAGCTTGGAGAATTCTCAGCTGTGAACCGAGTGTGGCTGAGCAATGCAGACTTGTCATCATTCCCAGAATCTGAGACGTAGGCCAGGCAAGGGCCCTCGTGGCTTAGCAGTGTCGGCAGGGACAGTGGCGCTTTCCCGTCTTCTGCTCTCCTCAGCCATGTTGGACTTGTCCGCAGGCCCGCTGCCTCATGGTGCAAAAAGGGTGCCATAGCTTCAGGCGGCACAGCCGTGTGTGAGAGCAGGAAGCAGGCGGGCAGGTGGGAGTTCGTATTGTAATCCACGAAGGAAACCGTTTACCAGTAAAAGACCTTGGTCCCCCAGGCCAGAGTGGAAGGGCACGGCTGGCCGGAAGGGCATCTGGGGAAATGCGTGGGAGTCTGGGAAAGACCAGACCTGCTGGTGTGCATGGATTTTGGTGTGTTCCTGGGGCTGGGGCGGTGGGTTTTGTTGGGGGGGGGGGGGGTGTCAGGCTGTGAGGGGCGCCTGCCTGTGTCTGCCGTGGTTACCTGGTGTCTGCCAGGCACTGCTGGGGCCTGCGTGCGGTGGGGCCCTCCGCCCAGGCCTGTCTCACCGGCACCGCGCCCACCGCGCCCTCTGCTGTGGGCACCTGGGGGGCTGCCTGCTCCTCCTGCCGCGGGACTGCGTCCCCGCCTGCCACCGGCAGCCCCGCACTGCTCTCTCCCCTCATGAGAGCCGCCTCCTCTCTGCCAGCGACCCAGCGTTCGCTTTCCCGCAGACGTTTTCTCTGGAAAAACTTGGGAGAGTTGGGCTGCCAGGTGTTCGCGTCTCGCTGCATGTGCCGTATCGCTGGAGTTCTGCCCACGATTCACCTGGCCTGTGGCCACCGTGCCCTGAGCGCCGCTCGTGTGCCCACAGGACCACTGCTCTGTGTCACGCTCCCACCTGACTTGCATGCCGTTAGCCACGTGTCTCACGTGGGCTGTGCTTCCCAGCAGTGCTGACGGTTTTCCCGTTTGGATCCGGTCGGGAGTCGTGAGCTGCCTGTGCTTGTCGTGTTAGTTTTCATCCAGGACGATCCTTCCGCTCTTTTTTTTTTTTTTTTTTTT